GTTACCAAGGGCCGCCGGGGACCGCCCCTAAACCCTAAACCACTGAACCCTGAACCCCTAAACCCTAAACCCCCAAAACCTCTAAACCCATAAACCCTTAACCCTATTTTCAGATCAAGGCCCCCTCAACCCCCTGAGCTCCAGATCCTGCCCTACCCTAACCCCAAGATTAACTTACCCCTTTTAGGGTTTACGGTTTAAGGGCTTAGGGTTTAGGGCTTAAGGCCTCCTTATGACGTCTTTTTATCTAGGTCCTCAAGTCACCTGGGTCCCCGAACTAAATAAGATATCCTAATGCGATACCTTTTTTTAGGGACCTAGATAAAGACATCATAGTAAGGAGGCCTAAGAAGGTAGGTTGTTCGGGGTTCCAGCAAATCCACTTCGGCCTCTGTGGGACAACCTGGAAAGTCGTCCCGTCAACGCATTCGACCTGGTTCAGAATTGAGGGTTCGTGGCTGCAGGATCACCATTGATAGAGTAGGGATCGCTTCAGGTCGGAACATGATGTAGAAGGAGAACCCCGCTGAGTAGCAACCAATCCACCGACTGGGAAAAGGATGTGCGGCCAGCATGAAGTGAAAAGGTCGTGTGTGCCTGAACCGATACCATTTTCCACCCATGGAAAAAAACCTGAGCCTGCTGGATTATGATGGTTTCCGCTACCTGACATGACACTAAGATCGATCAAAGCGCATGGTATGAGGCTCACAGGATCGAAAACACTGTCTTCAGGTTAGGTGTCATGATCATGGCTTAGGAAATTTTTTGAGTTAGAGAATTTAGGGCTTGATTAGGCTTGTTTAGGACCCTTGTTGGGGCTACGGTGGTTTCGGCTCTCTCCCACTACACCCTAAACCCGGACCAAAAAGTTCCCACCGTGCCTTCACGGAAGAGCTGGGCACGTATGCCCTGTCCTTCGCACCAGAGAGAAGCTGCCGTGAAGGGTCTGGAAACAGAGAGCTCTTAAGGATTAGGAAAGAGTTCATTGAAAACGGTTCCCTAAACCCTAAACCCTGAACCCTAACCCTTAATTCAGGGTTCCGTAAGGGTTATTCTAAGGGATTTAGGAATGTACGAGGACCCAATCAGTTCAATCGGCTTCCGGGGTGAAACCATCATTCCGCATTCTGCTACCCAGAGACTCCAGAGCCCTTTCATTAAGGGCACTTCTACTCAAAATACAGCAGGGACCCTTCATAAGGGAGCGCTTGAGGAGAAGATAGTGGGGTCTCTGGGTGCTTTTCTACTGGCCTGGAGTTGGTAGGACCACTGACATGTCTCCTAAAACTCCAGGGCCCCAAAACCCCAAAACCCTGAACCCGAAGCCCAAAACCGATCCAGTGAACCCTTGCCCCTAAACCCCCAATATAGGGGCCTGAAAAATTAGAACAGGTCTTTTATACTATAATTATAACAACGAGCCCCCAAAACCCTATTCTAAACCCTAAATCCCTATAAACTCAGGATGTTCCATACTCTCTCGCTGCCCAAAACAGCTCCTTCACGAAGCAGGTGACACGTGCAGAGCCCTCTGATTCGACGGTAACCTGACAACAGCTCAGGGGAACGACAAAAACCTAAGGATTACCTATGAACAGTCTCATTAGAATCCTATATATAAATCCTGTTAAACCAAAAAATCACTACAATGCAGATATAGGTAGGGTCTGGGAGCAGGTTAAATTTCGGGTGTCAAGGGCTTGATTGGGAGCTTGCGCATGGGTAAGTGCAGTCTGGCACAAGCATTCCCAACCAAAAGCCTTGCGAACGCGGAACATCTCGAGCAAAACCCGACCTTCGTCCTAGCAACAGATGTGCGGGGCAAAGTTGTGACAACGGAAACAGTAGTGGTAATGATAGTAGACATAGTAGCGGTAGCAGCCGTAAACTTGAGCAAAACAGTAGCAGCCAAGAGCCACTACTGGTATCAACAGCAAGACATAAACGATACTGGCACATAAGGCTGCTGGCTCTCTCTCTCTCTCTCTATATATATATATATATACATGATCGTCTCTGAAGCTGTGAATCATAGAAATGCTGGCAGTCATGTCCTTAAGAAGCACACGGTCCTTAATAATTAGAATAGGGTTTCGAGGGTTCCTCATTATACTTATATTATAACAGACCTCCAAACCCAATTCTAAATTCATCAGGCCCCTATATTACGTTCAACGTAGCAGTTACACTCATCATGGAAGTTGAGGTTTGGGCTGAAGCGGATTGACAAACAGAGATGAGAAGACTGTTGCAAGGAAGACCTACTGGTCCAGCTCCAAGGGGAGCGAAATCTTCAATGTTTGGGATGATAGAGGGGCTCCACAGCCGCGCAAAAACATAAAGGCTAACTTTGCCATTGCTAAGAAGGTGGCTACACCATCGGCGTGTTGCGAACCTTTGTGATCGTCTCGCCCGAAGAGTCTAGGAGAGGAAACCGCGACCCTAAACCCAACACCGCACATGTGCCCAAGCCCCAGAGCAGTTTGGGACTTGGTCATTAAGTTTCCTAGACAGGTCCCTTCGTGCCAGGGAAAAGTCGTACAGCCAGCCTTATAGATGATATAGGGGCCTTAAGAATCAGAATAACGTTTTGGGGTAGCTTGTACTAAACCACTAACTATTTAGGTCCCTATGTAACCCTGAACTAGGAACCCGAGACCTTAAACCCACTCGAGCACCTCGCTGCCCTCTTCTGTGCCAGTGTTGATGATTCGCGTACCATCCGGGAGGAGGCATACGTTCGACCTGAAAGGCTGTGTTTCAAGGTTCTCGAGCTCCGGGCTCAGAGCGTTTGTGGCTTCCGGTTCAAGATTAGGGTTCAGGGCTCTGGACTGCCGTGCGGTGACGGCTGAGATTGCGGGCTCGGGATTTGTGTAGCAAGGTTCTTAATTCTCGTGTATCGCGGCAAGAAACTTCGTGGAAATCTGACCATCACTAACGTGCCCTGTAACCAAAGACTCCTTCTGCACCCATCTTCTGTGATTTGGTTTAGACTTCAGGGATTGCCCTCGTGGAATCTAACAGGGAACCCCTAAACCTTCAACCCGAAAAGCCGAAAGCCCTGCAACCGAAAGCCATAAAACGCAGAGCCTTCTTGCCACAGCTCCAAAATCTAAAACCCTACGTACAGTCTCCATTGTAGTTCCTGTTTGGGGTTACCTTATAGGATCCTTATTTATTATATAACTGGTTGAACCAAAACAAGGAACTACAATGGAGACTGTAGGTAGACCCTAAACCGTAGCTACAGTTAAGCGGAACTTCAAGCACAAGCTGGACGTCTTTGCTTCGACTCAGGGGTTCCGGGTTTAGGGCATGATATAGGAGCCTTAGCAGTTAGAATAGGGTTTTGGTGTAGGTTCTAGTATAGTCTTTATGGCGCTTTAAGGGGGAGTAATTACCAAATAGCATCCTTGTAACTTAAGGGTAGATTCTAGTATAGTTTTTGAAGCGCTTTAAGGGGACTATACAATGGATGCTATTGGTAATTGCTCCGACCGCCGTCTTGCCTAGACTCTAAACCCTACATTGTAGTACCCTTTTGTGGTTACCTCATTTTCTCATTGTAGGACTCTACCCCTAAACCAGGTTGTCCAGAAAGGTGCCCCTAAAACCTAAACCCTAAACCCTAAACCCTAAACCCTAAACCCTAAACCTCTAAACCCTAAAGCTAGGACATTTCGTGCGATGACCCGGCAAAGTTCAGACTGCGGCTTTCCGGGCTTAGGTCTGAAGGGCTTCTGAGTTTTAAGATCTTCGGCGGGGTTCAGGAGCTTAGGGCTTTGGGATTCTAGGGTTTATTAGGGTTTAGGGCTTGGGGTTTAGGGTTCAGGGTTCAGGGCTTTGGTGCTTGGGGTTTGTTTCTAGATCAGGTGTCGGATTTAGAGGCGTTGCAGGTTGGAGGGCATTTCTGAAAGTTCGTGGCCTAGGCTTCGCTGCAGTTCACAGCTCGGGCTTTATTGCGTGGGTCAAAAGTAGGCGAAAAGAATTGTTCCAACACCTATAGAGGGCTGTTACTCTACATAACAGTGTAGGGGCCTGAATAATCAGAATAAGATTTTGGGGTCCATTAAGCTAATTATCTAATAAGGAACCCCCAAAAGAGTATTGGTAATTATTTAGGCCCCTACAGTACTTTCGGGGTCCCCAAACTCAAAACCCAAAACCCTAAACCCTAAACCCCTAAACCCTAAACCCTAAACCCAACGCCGGAAACTGTAGGGAACCGGACTGGCCGCCCGGAAGCACCAAGATCAGCATCCCCTGCAGAAGACGGGAAAGCTTGAAGTCGTTCGCTTGGGGTTCAGGGTCTGGGATGTTTGGGGGGGGGGGGGCCTTAAAGACTTCGAGTGTGGGTTTTTAGGATTTAGGGATTCAGGGTTTAGAGAGTTAGGGGTCTAGGGTTTAGGAGTTTAGGGTTTAGGGATTTAGGGGTTTCGGGGTTTAAGGGTTTGGGGTTTAGGGATTTAGGGATTTGGGGTTTGGGAGATTAGGGGATTAGCGGTCTACCGTTTGGGGCCTAGGTCTTCATGCCCAGGTTTGGGTCAAGGTCCTCGGGCTTCTACGGGGCCCCTAAACCCTAAGCCTCAAACCCTAAACCCTAAACCCTAAACCCAAAACCTTAATTGGCTTTCCTGAATCTCTGATTCATGGCTGGAGCATGTGACTAAGCCGCGTAAGCAGCCGAGAAAGCAAGTTCAGCCCCCCAGCTCCAAACATTGCAGCTCGTTCCCACAGAGACGCGGAAGAAGCTGGAATAACTGAATGACAAATAATCTGTCAGCTATGGCGTCATGCATATGTTCGGCGGCGAAAGATCAATCGTGATTCGCGGTGAGACCCTAAACCCTAAACCCTAAACCCAAAGCCCTAAACCCCCTAAGGGTTAGATCAAGGACGAAGAGGGCAGAGTGGAGGGCCTCCTCGTGGGAAATTGACTTGACCCCGGTGTGCGGATCTCGCTGAGCCAGCATCGGCACCTGTGAGACTCATTGAGGGTTAAGGGTCTAGGGTTCTAGGGTTTAGGGCTTTAGGGGTTTAGGGTTTAAGGTTTAGGGCTTTAGGGTTTAGGGGTTTAGGGCTTTCGGGTTTAGGGTTTGAGGGTTTAGGGGTTTAGGGTTCAGGGGTTTAGAGTTTCGGGTCACTGCAGGGTTGTAAACGTGGGCGCATGCCTATTGACCGAGCCTTTGCATGAGAGCTTACTGCTTGTGGTTTATATCCGGGGTCAACTATGGTCGGAAACTCCCATTGCTGGCAGCTTATACAAGTGCTTCCAGTATGTTGGGAAACTAAGCTCAGCGGAAAATCCCTGGTCCCTTCCGAGGTGGTTTTGCAAAGAAATCCCAGGCATCGCACGGGGTCCAACTCGTACTCGATGTTCGCACCCTCGTCGACGAGCACCGCCTGTGATTTTGGTCGGGGCTTCCGGTTCTAGGGTTCAGTCTGTTCGACGTTTGGGGTTAGTTGCCAGGTTTTGAAGTCTTCTTAAAGCTCTACCGTTTGTCTCGAAGAGCTTGGATTTCTGTCTGATTCCGCCGGAGTGTTTTCAGAGAGTCATGGCTGACGGAATAACTCGCAAAATTCGTTCAAAAGAAAGCATTTCGTCGAGTTACATCATCTAACCGCTAGCCAGAAATTCAACGTGGCCGTCTGGCTTTAGGGTTTTAGGGTTTAGGGTTTGGGGTTTCGGGTTTAGGGTTCTAAAACCTGGACTCCAAACTCTGAGCCCCTGAACCCCAAATTCCAAGTCCGCATTCTGCATTTGAGAAACGGGAGCCCTAAATTCTAAGTTCTAAGCCCTAAACCCTAAAGCCTAAGCCCTAAGATCTAAGTTCTACACCCTGAACCCTAAGCCCTAAGTTGCCCTAAATTCTAAGTTCTAAACCCTAAACCCTAAGCTCCAAGTTGCCCTAAATTCGAAATTCTACACCCTCGACACAAAAACCTGGAACCCTGAACCCTAAAACTCCAAGCGATTAATTCACACTCCTACACGACATCCTCAGCCCTCAAACCCTAAACCCTAAACCCTGAAGCAACATGGTCTTCACAAGTCTGCTTGGCCCGAAGCCCAAAACCTTGAACTCCTCACCATTAGCGTCTACACCCGACGGCAATCTAGGACTGATTCGGGTTTCATTAGGACAAATCCACAAGCCGCTTTCTGGTCAACTCGTCACAAAACTATCGGTCCCAACGAAAGCACGACTCCTCCGAAGATCTGGGCGACACATATAGCTTGAAAAAGCAATGCCCTAAATGCCTACGCGAACGATCGTGTGCACTAGCGATGCCCTCACAGCCGACGACGATCGTTACCTACACAACTACATATCTGTCAAACTGCCCGTAAAACGATCGATGTGTCCCTATGCACGCTCTAAACCCTAAACCCTAAACCTAAATCCTAAACGCTAAACCCTAAATCCTAAACCGTAAACCCTAAACCCTAAACCCGAAACCCCAAACCAAACCCGGACGCCAAAAACCCCAAACCCCGATTACATCTGAACCTCGAGAATGTCTTTCAGAGTCGGCTCTGGCTCTGGTGGCTCCGGCTCGCTCTCCTTTCGGACTTGCGGGTTTAGGCGTTGAGGGGTTTAGGGTTTAGGGTTTAGGGTTTAGGGTTTAGGGTTTAGGGTTTAGAGGATCAGGGTTAAGGGGTTGAGGCTTCATGGTTGTCTTTCGCAGTATACTATCATCGGGACTCAACTTATTACTATTGACGCTGCTGATGTTATTGGTAGTGCTGGCTATTTGAATATTGTCATGAAAGATTTAACGGAAGCCTTCTTGTCTTAAAGGAGTAATACATAATGCCTCAGTAATGCTAGAACTGTGCTCTAAAATGATGCTAAACTGAATAATTCTAAATACTGCCAAGCCGTGCGAAATTGTGCTGATAGCGCGAAATAGCGCTCAAAAAGGACTGAGTGTGAGTTAAATGAACTACTAGGAAGCAATACATGTTATCACTAAAGCGACCACATGATAACTTTGCGCCCAAAACAAGCCAAAGCAAATAGACAACTACCCGGACAAAGACTCTCAGAAATCGAATCATGGCTTGAAATAGCTTCTATGAAATTAAAACCTAAGTATTGCTTCTTCTGCTGCTACTTCTACTACTACTTCTGCTACTGCGGCTACCACCACCACTGGACTACTACAACTACCGCTACTGCTACTGCTGCTGCTGCTGCTATTTCTACTTCTACTTCTACTTCTACGTCTACGTCTACTTCTACTTCTACTTCTACTTCTACTACTGCTTCGCCGACGACGGCGACGACGACCAGTAGCATTATAAGTCAGTATGCTTTGGGGACGTGAGGAGCTCGACTCGGAGGGCTGGTTATGTTGACTTCAACCGGGGATAGATTGCTAGAACATGCTCAGGGTTTAGGGTTTAGGGTTTAGGGTTTCGGGTTTCGGGTTTAGGGTTTAGGGATAGATTGCTGGAACATACTCTGGGTGTGGTGTCAGTGTAGATATACACAAGGCTCAGGGCTTGGGGCTTGGGGGGATTGCTGGAATATACTCTTGGTGTGGTGTCAGTGTAGATATTTGTGTTTGGCCTCAGGGCTCAGGGTTTAGGGTGACTACTAGAACATACCCTTGGTGTAGATTCGGTGTAGACCTAAAGCTCTAGGAGCACTGTTGCAAGCGCCTAAGGCCCTTATGTTGAGTTGCGGCCTGCCATTGAAACATTAAAAAAACTTCTCAGCTGATGGACTCAGGGGAGGATTTGATGGTTCGTTCTAGAAATCGAACGAATCTACGTACGAGAGCATTGCAGGCAGTACCATCGGTTTGGGGAATTTGGGTTTGAGGATCCTGACAAACATTCCATGCGAAAGCTGCCGAATCTCAAGTCAGCAGGTGCATCCTTACGACCCTTTAAACACCCAAAGCCTGGAGCCCCAAAACCCTAAACCCTAAAACCCATAAAACCCTCAAACCCTAAACCCCTAAACCCCAAAACCCTAGACCCTTGAATCCCAAGACCCTGCTAAACCGAGCGTAACGCCCATGCTGCTGCTGGGGTCGAGCTGCGTGCCCCGAGCTTAAGATTAGGGGCCCCGAAACCGAAGCCTTACCTCGATACGGGTTCAGGGTTTAGGGTTTAGGGGTTTGGGGTTAGGGGTTTAGGGTTTAGGGTTTAGGGCGCCCACAATGATTGCCTTTCACCCAAGAACTGAGAATGTGCAGGCGGTTGACTTGTAAGTGCTTGGGTGGCTTAGGTGTCCTTAACTCCGAGCCATAAATGATCGCTCTTTGTTTTGGGGGGTTCCGGGAAAACCCTTATCAGTGTCAAGGAATTTGGCATGGCATCCACAATTCCATCGAGCGGAACTGTGAGGGCTTAAGGTAGTCGATCCGCCCCAAGATTGAAAGACCGACGCAAAGATTCCAAGCGTTGTGGGTCCACGCTGTCGCAGGTCAGCAGCGTCGGAGTGTCGGAGTGTCGGCAAGTTCTGCTTCTTGAAATCAGCCCCAAACTTGGGTTCGTGCCACGATTCAGGTAACACTTCGAGCTAAAGAAAGCTTTCACACGGTCATGGTAGCTGGCCCACTCCAGCCCCGGGATGTGGCCCATGCCAAAGAAGTATCTCACCGGCATTGTTTGGGGTATCCTCAATCTGCGTGAAGTACAGATCTTGCAATGCCGGGGTCCGAAACCATCAGCCCCTTGGCCCCGAAAATCACTCAACCCTGAGCCCTACCTTAAACCCTGAACCCCAAACAGCCTAAACGTGTAGTAGCAGGGTCTCTGAATCCGAAACCCTACGCGCCCTTAGCCCATCTAAGCCCTATGATATATATATATATATACATATATATATATATATTTATTTATTTATTTATTTATTTATTTTTAGTTATATTTATATTTATATTTATTTTTATTTATATTTATATTTATTTTCATATTTATTTATTTATTTATTTATGTATGTATTTGTTTATTTGTTTATTTATTTACTTATCTATTTATTTATTATTTATATACATACATACATATATGTATATACACTCTAAACCCTAAACATCCCTAAACTCTAAACCCTAAATCCCCAAAGCCCCAAACGGTCCAGGTCTTCTTCCTCTTCAGCATCTGGCGCCTTTGGCAGTGACATGAAGTACGGTGAGGGTTCGGCACGGTTCAGGGTTTAACGGTTTAAGCTTTAGGGTTAAGGGGTCAAGGTAAATGGAGAAGTTGTAGGGGCAGGTACGGCTGAGGGTTTCGTTTAGTCTTTGTTTTGTGGGGAGGGGGGAGGGGCCCGGCCTGGAACAGTGAAGCCTCAAGCAAATTGAACCTGTTTCTTATAGAAGCACCCTGTCATAGGATCCACAGTCTTGTAGTATAGTTACAATGTAGCAACCATAACTCAACCCTAAAACTCTTAACGGCCCTAAACCCTATATCAAGCGTTCCTAGCCCTATATGGGCTTGTTGGAGCCCCCTAAACCCTAAACCCTAAACCCTGAACCCTGTGAACGCAGAGATTAACCCGGGCCGGGGTCCCCACCGGCTCTTTGGATTCCGTGGGAACCTCCTTGCTGCCCGGCTTGCTCGGCCTGGGGGGCGTAGGATCGCGGTAGGGGGCGTAGGGTTTAGGGTATGGGCTTGTATAGCCATACAGAAATGAAGCTGTCCTTACAACTACGAACAAGCTTCAGGCACTACATCGTTGGGCATTATACAGCTTTCCAAAGTATGGGCATTGTTAAAAATCTGCATGATGTGTAGTATAGCTCCTGTAGGACGCGTCAAGATACGGTGCTGCAAAATGTCCGCGCTCCTGGAAATGGCTTGAAACCTTGTGCTAGCACTCGCGATTATCCTTCAGTATCCTTCACATGTCTGAGACTGTGGCTGGTGCTACTAGATACATTGAACAGAGTGGTAGATGGTATCGGGACAATGGCAGCAGCGTTGTGGTAAGTCTGGCAACTGCTTCGCTGACGATGATGACGATCGACGTGATTCTTTAATGGTGATGATGCTAATAATCTGGAAGGCGACTGATACGGGCGACGGCCACGACGACGATGATGATGGCGGCGTTGATGATGATGCTGATGATGGTAACGATGGTGATGATGATGGTGATGATGATGATGATGACGATGAAGATGATGACGATGATGGTGATGAAGAAGTCAGAAGAATATGATGCTGAAGATGAAGATGATGAAGATGATGGTGGTGGCGGTGGTGATGATGGTGATGACGATGATGAAGATGATGACGATGATAATGGTGATGATGATGATGATGATGATGACGATGATGATGATGATGAAGATGATGGTGATGATTATACTGATGATGACGACGATGATGATGAGGGTGATGAACATGACGAGAGTTATGAGGATGATGTGACTATGAGGATATTTATGGGGATGATGATGGTGATGATGATGATGTTGATGATGATGATGATGGTGGTGATGATGATGGCATTGATGACGAAGACGATGATGTGTGTGCTCGCTGGGTAAGACTAGGATTGGTGCAATGCCCCTGTGCACGTGGACTGTTGCCGCTACCACTGCTATGTTTGTTGCATGTTGCTGCACAGCTGGCAAACCTGCAAGCTGCGCCTCCTGGCCGCGCAGGAACACTAAAAGCTCCTAAACCCTAAGCTCTCCAAACCCTGAATCCTGAGCCCTAAACCGCGAACCCTGAAGCTTAAACCCTAAACCCTGCAACCTGAAGGGTGATCTTCGCGAAGCCCGAGGCACGCCGCTGGCTTCAGGCATCTCTACTGCACAGAAGTAAACCCGCCGAATAAGTGCAAGCTTGGAGCCTGAAGCATTACAGCCCTATCAATCCGATAAACCCGAAGCTTGAAAAGACAATTGAACCCAAAACATCGGAACGAAAACCTGCGGGCGTTCTGAGCCCGAAACCCTGAATCCTGACACCAAACTAATCCCACTCCGGCCACGGGGCGGCTTGCTGGAAGGCTTGCTGCCGGGCTTGCCACTGTCCTTGCTGCCAGCCACCTCGATCCATCTCGAGCCCAACATCCGGATTCGAGGCTGATGTTTAGGGAACACTGACCTAAACCCTACCTACAGTCTCCATTGTAGTTCCTTGTTGGGTATACCTTATAAAATCCATAGTATATAATTGGTTAAACCATAAAAGGAACTACAATGGAGACTATGGGTAAACCCTGAAGTCCAGTACAACTGAAGGTCTGGGGTAGATCATCAACCTCCCCTGCATCCCTCCCCCCTTCCCCCCCTATACAGTAGCCGGAAGAATCTCCGCCACCTTGCCAGGTGACGTGGTTACAGGGCTCATGAGGGTTCAGGGCTTTGGTTGTTTAAAGTTTAGGATTTAGGCCAATACTTACACTGATCGTGCCACGTCGGACGGATGTGTTCGGTAGTCCGCACTGCGATCCTCTTGGTTGTCTTGCAGAATCAGCCACCGCTCTTTCTGCTTCCGAGGGCTTGCGATTAGATGCTTCAGTCGCTTTCGGGTTTAGGGTTTCATGATGTCTGTTGTTGGACTGCTGCCAATACCTCCAGGCATTGCGCCAGAGGTCCCGATCAGCAGATCCATGCTAGTAAGTAGCAGCCCAACCTTGCCGTAGAAGACGATTAATGCCTTTGTACTGAACCTCTCGACGGTCGTTGTATGCCATGACATGATTTGCAGCTGTTACAGGGTTGATTACTGCAGATAGCTCTGTTCTGAAGAATGTTAGGGTTTACGGTAGGCTCTCTTGCGGGTTTCTCCATACAGGGAGCTCCTTTTCGAGCATGTTCGAGCGTTATGTTCAGACCCCCATGGCAACCCCTTCGGAAGCCCATGAAGCCCTGATAAGCTCCCCTAAACCCCTTACAGCACCCGACTTCTGCCAAAACCCATGAAGCCCTGACAAAAACACTGTAAACCAAAAACGCCCTTACAACACCCGATGCAACACAAAAAAATATGCACTCACTCTGCCGCCCAGGGACACCCGCTTCCTTGCTGGGCAGGGTGCCGAGAGGATCGGGTTCCTGGCGCGATTTAGGGTTCAGGGGTTGAGGGGTTGAGGCTTTAGGGTTTAAGGGTTTAAGGTTTTGGGGTTTAGGGCTTTAGGGCTTTCGGATTTAGGGCTTTAGGGGTTTAGGGTTTACAGCTTAGGGTTCATGGGGTTTCGGGTTTAGGGCCTTGGTTTACGATGGTTTGGGGTTTCAAGTTTGGGGCTCTCGGGCTTCACTGGAAAATCCTTGCTATCTACAGCCTAAGAGGGTATAGCCAACCCTCTTGTACTGCGGATCTAGCTACAGTAGAACTGCGGCGTATACAGAGAGAGAGAGAGAGAGAGAAAAGAGAGAGAGAGAGACCGAGAGAGCGGGAGAGAGAGTGAGAGAGGGAAAGACAGAAAAGAGAGCGAGAGAGAGAGAGAGACGTACTTATCGGGCCAAGGCAAGGCTAAGGTTTAGGAATTCACGTTGTTAGAACTAAAACGGCACATGTAGGAAAGAATGATGTTCCGGAACCCGCAGTCTGGAAATGAAAACTGAAGCATGCGGGAGTTTCCGAACATATAAAACCTAAGTAAACAAGGGTGCCAGGGCTTAGTGTAACCCTACACCCTGAACCCTAAACCCAAAGTTGTTTTTTGGAGCTCCTTCTTAGTCGCGACCGCCTATCATCCAAGCTTTTGGGGCGTATTTTGGGGTTCATGGGGTTAGGGCTTGGGGCTTAGCTGTTTAAGAGTCAGGGAATAGAAGGATGTAAGGCTAAGGTTGTTCCATGCTGTAGCTCGAGTCATAGCCCCTGCACCCTGAGCCCCAAAAACTTATCTAAAGCTTACGTCGAAAACGGCCCTTCAAAACCTAAACCGATCTCGGAAACCCATCCTACCGTTGGACTCTGAAGGTCCCTTCATCTTCTGAAACTCGGCTTGGGGTTTAGGGTTTATAGGGGTTTAGGATTAGGTTTAGGGAATTAGACATACCATCAAGAGCCCTGTAAGCGGTGACCCCGCAGGCCTAAACCCAAATCCCAACAGCCAAAGAGCCTCAAACCCAAAGCCTAAAGTAGGGGCCTTGATCATTTACAGTACTATTATAATAAGGAGCCCTAAGGAATAAGATTGGTAATCATCTAGGTTACCATGTTACTTGAAACTGCGCCCATGAGAATGCGAATAGGGCTCTGGAGTATAATAAAGCAGACAGGACAACGAAGGAATATTCGTACTAGTTCAGCGCGCCACACCCTAGACCGAACACCCAGAACACGGCAGGCTCGGCCCTAAACCCTAAACCCTTGGAAACCCGAAACCCTCAGAAACCCTAAACCCTTAAGAAACCCAAAACCCTTAGAAACCCTAAACCCTTAGAAACCCTAAACCCTTAGAAACCCTAAACCCTCAGAAACCCTAAACCCTCCTAAACCCTTATAAACCCTAAACCCGTAGAAACCCTAAACCCTTAGAAACCCTAAACCCTCAGAAACCCTTATAAACCCTACACCCTTATAAACCCTAAACCCTCAGAAACCCTAAACCCTTATAAAGCCCCCAACTCGGCAGGCTCGGCCATCGCAGACTCGGATTTCGATCCTTTCAATGAGCCAAGGAAGGATCCCTGGCGACAGAGCCACGGTTTAGAGTTTAGGGTTTAGGGTTTAGGGTTTAGGGTTAAGAGTTTAGGGTTTAAAGTTTAGGGTTTAGGGTTTAGGGTTTAGGGAAGCAAGAGCTAAGAGGAGGGAGATCCTGGGCTCCGGGTGGGCGCCTAAGTAGGGTTTAGGGTTTAGGGTTTAGGGTTTAGGGTTTGTTTAGGGTTTAGGATTTAGGGTTTAGGGTTTAGGATTTAGGGTTTAGGGTTTAGGATTTAGGGTTTAGGGTTTAGGATTTAGGGTTTAGGGTTTAGGGGCCTAAGTAACTAGAATAGGGTTTTGGGCACCATGAATTTATAGTATACTTATAAGAAGGAACTATAAGGAATATTATGGGTAATTGTTTATAGTATACTTATAAGACGGAACCATACGGAATATTATGGGTAATTGTTTATAGTATACTTATAAGAAGGAACCATAAGGAACATTACTGGTAATTCTTTAGGCTTCTAGATTCATTGCTTCTGGGGTTTCGGGTTGAGGGTCGAGGGCGTCAGGCTGAGGGTCGGGGGCTTCGGGGCGTTAGCTTTGCTTTAGGGCTTTTGATGTGGAAAATGTCTCTTACGACGTCTGTGTGGAACCTGTGGATTGAGTTTCGGGCTTTGGTATGGGATTTCAAGAAATGTGGGCTTCGGGGCTTGTTGGATTTTTTGGGATAGTTGTGGGCTTCTTGCGCCTGAAACCTATGACATGCTGATGCCTTCCGCAGCATGTATACATCTGAAACGTCTTGAATGCTTGCAGTACATCTGCATCTCTCTTTCTCTTTCTCTCTCTCTCTCTCTCTCTCTCTTTCTCTCTCTCTCTCCACCTCTGTCTCGCTATGTCTATCTTTATCTTTGTAGCTCCCTCTCTCATTCTATTCAGCCGATGATTTCGCGCTCTCTCCGTCTGACTCGCTTTCTCGCTCTCTTTTGCGAAGTATCTGTACTATCTGCCTGTCTATCTATCTATCTATCTATCTATCTATCTGTCTATCGATCTGTCTATCGATCTATCTATCTACCTACCTATCTATCTATCTACCTACCTACCTACCTACCTACCTATCTATCTACCTATCTATCTATCTACCTATCTGGCTATCAATCTATCTACCTATCTGTCTCTCTGCCCACATGCATACATGCATGCATGCCTACATGCAAACATTTTTTACATGCGAACGTACATACATACATCCCTACCTACATACATACAAACATACATGCATACATACATACCTTCCAGTCCAGTCCAGTCCAGTCCAGTCCAGTCCATTCCATTCCATTCCGTCATAGTATACTACATTTCACTACACAGGCTGGGTCGCTAGGGAGGTAGATAGGTACAGACAATGCTACAAACGTACCCGGAGTCCATTCGCACCTCACTCAGGCATGCATGCTTGCATACTGATGCTGCATCTGGACATGCGCAGATGCACGGGTTCAGAGAGATGGGCAGAAAAAGCTGGGAGGCGGAGTATCCGATAGCACGAGCTGCTTGGATTATAAGCCCTAAACCCTGAACTAATATAGGGGCCTCTATAATTAGAGGTATACTATACTATAGTTAAAATAAGGCCCCAGAATATTATAGGTAACTATTTAGGCCCCTGTCTTATCCGCAAGCAATGCTTGAAGGAAGCTCTTAGGTAGAAGCCTTAAAGGACGAGTCGACGCCATCCCGGAGCGCTGGGAACTGCAGCTTCCGAGCTCCAAGCTGGAACCCTTGGGCTTAGGGTTTAGGGTTTAGGGTTTCAGAATTTAGGGTTTAGGGTTTAGGGTTTGAACCTCGACGTTTAGGGTTTCCGAAAATAAGGGGTACCCTACTTTGGGGGCCATTTTGGGGTCCTTTATAATAAGGATCTTACTATCTAGGGCACTATATTAGGGTCCCCTATTTTCGGAAACCCCCACACCTTAAAGCCTAGGCTACCAGAAGTCCTCAACTCTACACATCTTATACGTCAAATCTGCACCTGAATTCCTTAACAGTTTTGGGAAGTTCAGGCACTCATTTACGAAGTTTAGTCAGGGTTCGGAAATAGGCTTTTGGACTTGCAACATTGTGACACCAAAGCAACAGCCCTAAATCCAAGGCGTTGCATAGAGTTAAGGGCCCAAACGCCAACTGCCCCCAACAAGCTAGACACATCTTGACATCCGTTCGCTCACGAAGCGCCTCATCATCAGGGATCTTCACTGTTCGCCCAAAGCGCCTCACATGGCAAATCCCGGGTCCCTCGGGGCGGGGAGGACACCAAACCCTAAACCCTAAATCTGAATCGTGAGAATGTAGAGAAGCGGACCCCAATTTCCGCCTCGTGCATGCCTTAAAAACCCTAGGCCCGAACCTCCGAACTCCAAACTTCAGGGGCCGTAGAGCCTGAGCCCTGAGATATGCAGGTCGGAATGGTTTCCGGTATATCCACCAAAGGCCGCACCTTCAAGCCGTGACTCCTGAACACCATGATCCCTAGCCCCTAAAGTCCCTAAAGTTAAGGCGCCCCAGTCACCACAGGGACTGGAGAACTAAACCCTAAACCCCAAACCCCAAACCCGAAATCCCTAAACCAGAAATCCCGAAACCCCTAAACCCTGAAGCCCAGACCCCGGAACCCCTACTAAGCCTCTAAACCCCCTAAACCCCCCCTAAGCCCTAAACCCTAAACCCTAAACCACCCTAAACCCTAAACCCTAAACCACCCTAAACCCTAAACCCTAAAACCCTAAACGTCCCAAGCCGCTTCCAAAGCCCTAAAGTCTCCACTCTGTGCCTGCCATCCCGGGTAGTCACCCGCCAATGGCCCGGCCTGTCTTTGAGCGGAGAGGGGGTTTTTGGGGGGTGTAGGGTTTAGGGTTTAGGGTTTAAGGTTTAGGGCATAGGGTTAAGGGTTTAGGGTTTAAGGTTTAGGGTTTAGGGTGTAGGGTTTAGGGTGTAGGGTGCTTAGGGCTTCGGGGGGGGTTTTAGGATGTAGGGTTTTGGGGCTTAGCGCTTGGGGGGTTTAGGGTGTAGGGTTTAGGGTTTAGGGTTTAGGGTTTAGGGTTTAGGGGTGTAGGGTTTCCGGTCTTGGCTTTAGGCCTGGTCCTTGAGGGGTTAGCGGGGTTGGGGGTGTAGGTTCTCGGGTT